GTTTTTATGAATTGTATAGTATCTTGAATTATTGTGGGCCAGTAGTATTTTTGTTTTAGTTTAGCCAAGGTTTTTGTTACACCAAAATGTCCACTGAAAACTGATTCGTGGTAGGATTTCAAAATAGTGTTAATTAAACTTTTTGGTATTACTAATAGATTATTTGCTCCATGGGGTGTCCAATTTTTATAATAAAGTAATTCATTTTTTATACAGTATTGCCTAGATTTCTTTTTGTATTTAGAATTAATTTTGGTTTTTATTGCATCAATAATGCCGTTACAAAATTCATCCAATTGTTGTTTTTCTTTTAATATATCAGTATTAACCTCATTGATAGCTGTCGGGTCATTGTTCTCTAAATTCTTTAATTCAGTAATTAATGTATTGATATTTTCTACTGGATATCGAGATAAACAGTCTGCAGCTAAATTCCCTGCACCCGGTTTATGCTTAATTTCTAAGTCAAATTCTAATAACTTGAAGATAAATTTCGTTATTCTAGATGAAGGATTTTTCATCGTCTTATAATATTGTAAGCTTGAGTGGTCGCTATAAACAGTAACTTTCCTACCTATTAGATATTCTTTAAAATAATTAAGTGCAAATACTACGGCTGACATTTCTAACTCTGTCGTCGAAAAATTTTTTTCTCCGCCTTTTAGTTTCCTAGATGCAAATGCAATTGGATGCTTTTTTCCATCCGGGTTTTCCTGTTCTAAAATACCTGAAAGCCCATCTAAGGAAGCGTCAGTCGTGACGAAAACCGGGTACGTGTCCTCAAAATGTGCTAAAACGGGTGCCGTAATTATTAAGTTTTTTAGAGTATTAAAAGCGTTATTTTGGTTCTCGCCCCAACTAAATTTATTTTCCTTTTTTGTTAAATCTATTAATGGACTCGCAATTTTGGCAAAGTTTTTTATATATTTCCTATAGTAACTTGTTAACCCAATGAACGACCTTACATCTTTTACCTTTTTAGGTATAGGAAATTGTTTTATTGCTACTACATTTTTTTCTAATGGAACAATTCCTCTGTTGGAAACCTCGTGTCCTAAAAGTTCTATTTTAGAGCTAAAAAATACACATTTATTTGTTTTTAATTTTAGTCCTGCCTCGTCCAACCGAATAAAAATGTTTCTTAGTCTTTCTAATGATGATTCAAAGTTTTTCCCGAAACAGCAAATATCGTCTAAATATGCAACCATAGTCGTATATAAGTAATCACTAAACAAATTATTGATTATTCTTTGAAATATTGGTCCTGAGTTTTTAAAACCTTGAGGAATACGTTTGAAATGATAAAGGCCAAAATCTGTAATAAAAGCAGTTTTGTATCTGTCTTCAACCCTTATTGGTAATTGAAAATAACCCTGGGCCATGTCAATCGTGCAGTAGTATTTAGCTCCTTCTAGGCTCCTAAACAAGTCCTGTGACCTCGGGATAGGATGCTTATCACTGATTGTTTCATCGTTTAGTTTCCTATAGTCGACTAAAAATCGATACTCCCCAATTTCTTTCTTAGGTATTAAAAATACTGGAGCAGCATAACTACTTCTACTGGGTTCAACTATATCAGAGGCTATCATTTGATCTATTAAAAGTTTTAGTTTTTCCCTTTGGGTTGGCGCTACTCTGTAGGGAGGTTGAAAAATTGGTTTATTTGATTTTAAGTTAATTTCGCATGGTTCTACATTTGCGCAACCGATGTCCAGCGGGTCGGATGTAAATAAATGTTTGTATTTGTTTATTAGACTTTTTGCCTTTTCCCTCTGTTCACTATTTAATTCATTTGATATTCTTATAACGGTTCCTTGTTTATCACTAATTTCTTGTTCCGGTTTATTAATTATTGTTGAGATTGTTTCTTTGTTGACAGAATCATTTGTTTTTTCTATTTTACCTATTGTCATGCCTTTATACGTTTGTGTATACAAATTTGGGATAGTGTTCCCTGAAACACATTTTTCATTATTATTTAAAATTTGTGTTTTCAATTTAAAATAATGTTTCTCTTTATTTTTTTTCTCGTCTTTGTTCGTGTCTGAATTAATATTTTCATATTTTAATTTTGGCTTATGTGGAGTTGTTATATTTTCATTTTTGGTTTGGTTTTCTTTCCTTTTGTTATAATTTATACTGGTAATATAATTGATTTTTGTATATTTATTTGTAATATTATTTTTGTGATAGTCATACCAGTTATTGTCCATTGGTATGATAACATTTTTATTAAGTTGTATGTTTTTATTTTCAAAGTCAATTATTACATTATTCTTAATGTTAAAATCATTGCCTAGGAGCAATTTGCAATGTAGTCCTTTAATTACATATGCATTTATTAGGTAGTGGTCATCTTTTATTTTGATTGTTATCTCTGTTTTACCTAATTGTTTTAATTCTGTATTGTCTGCACTTGTTATTATAATATTTTCTTCAGGTTTAATAAGTTGTTTATTTTTTGTTAACGAGTAATCTATACATGACAGATTTGAGCCTGTATCTAATATAGCGTATTTTTCCGTTCCGTCAATTTCTACTTTCATTGATAATACTCTTTGTCCACATTCTGTATTTATTATTAATTTTTTGTTATCTTTGTTTTTGTTTTCTGCAAAGTTTTGATTTGATAATTGCAAATCGTTTTGGTATTTGTCTAAGTAGTCATCTACGTTTTCTTTTATTATGTTAAGGTTAGGAAATATCGTGTTGATTGTTATATTTGAAAAGGTGCGTGGATTATTTATTTCGGTGGATATACCGGGTGTCCTGTGACAATTCTTATGGAAGATACCTATATTTTGGCGACTGGGTTTCCAGTATACTATTGCGTTAGAGTTCTCGTTAATTTCATAGATTATAAATAAATTTATCTTGAATTGGTCACAAATAAAAGCTAAGTCATCATCTTTAAAATAGTAGCCTGATTTTAAGTTAGGAATAGTTAGCATATTCAAAATTTCTGCTGTTGTTTTGTTAATATTAAGATTTTGTAAACATATGCGTAATGCGTGGGCTCCACAATCACGGTCATACGGTACCTCTTTTAACTTAACAAATGAGCCTGCAATGAATGCTATTTCTTTTTTTAAACTGTAGTTGATATTAGTGTTTGGAATTATATTATAACTAGTATTTAAAATGTCGCTCTTTTGGATATTTTCGTTTTTTGGTAAGGTGAATATTCTTATTTTCGTTATTGAATTTTGAAAAATAAATCGTATCATGTCAGCTATTATATCCCATTGTTTTTTATCCAAACCCGAGCATATTTTTGGCAAAGCTAATGTTCTGATTTTATTTTCAGTACAAAATTGCTTAGTATTTTTCAATGTTTTAAAAATATTTGAGTAAGTTGGTTTGTCATAGTGATTGTTTTTTGTAATAAGGTATAAAATCCATTGGCCGTTTAATTTTAAATGTGCTACTTCAGTAATATTTTTACGTTGATTAATCAGCTTGTCCTTATTATTAAATTGTGCTTCAAATTGTGTGGCTATCCCTTTTGACATCGTGAAACATTTACTAACACAGTGTCCAATTGCAACATCTGCATTTAAAGAAAATATATCACCCGTAATTTCTGCGTAGTCACAACTAAATGTTTTATTTGTATTGTTGTGTAATAAAAAATCTTGGAATTCGGTTAGTGGTTTCAACGTATTTTTTTTTGAGTATATGTATTCAATTTCAAATTCACTATTTTCGATGTCATCGTTTTTGATTGTTTTATTAGAATTTTGTTTTTTATACCAGCTTTCCACGAATTGTAAGTAATCGATATTTTCCTTATTTTCTTCATTAGATATTATTGTGTTATTAATTTGATAATTATATTCCCGAGTTGTATTTTCCGAATCTTCTTTTGACTCGGGACTTAATCGTTTTTTGATAGAGTACATCTATCCGCATAATGACCTTTTTCATTGCATTTATAGCATGTAACTTTTTTTGATTCTTTTTCGTAATTGTCTCTATACCGTTCTGGTGTTCTTTCGTGGCTATTATCCCTACTGTATTCACGTTTTGGTCTGTAATAATTATTTCGGCTGCTGTCTCTGTCTCTAGAATTTGACCTATTTCTGTAATCTCTATTATTATTTCTATATGGACTGGGTTCTCTTTGTCTTCTGTTATAATATTCCCTATCTCTAGATAGTGACCTATCTCTACCGTATTGTCTGTCCATATTAGATTCTCTATTTTTACGATTGTAATCTTCCGGGTATGGACTTCTGTCTCTATAGTTTCGTCTGGGTGCTTGATAATTCATTTCTTTCTCATAACTACTACCTCTGCCGTTATAACGGCTATAATTATTTATTTCATCAAAATTATCGTTTACGAAGTTTACGGATTTATTTTGGATTTTTCCAGATAAACTTATTTGTTTTATTTCGTCACTTAATTTTTTAATCTCTTTTTTATGTTCTCTGTCTCTATTTTCTAGTTCTATTTTAAATTCTTCAAATTCTCTGTCATTTGTCTTTTTGTTTAATTGTAGAACTTGTTCACTTAATATTTTAGTGTATTCGTTTTGATTTGTATCCCTAGAATTTATTCTAAATTGCATCAATTCGAATTTTTTTAAGTTATTTCTGATATTTTTTAAATTGCTATTGTCATGTAGGGAAATTGCATTTAAAATTGGTTCCTTTAATCCTTTTAATATGTATATACATATATCTTCCTCCTTCATATTTTTATTCACCTGTCTACACAAGTTTTCTATATCAGTGACGTAACTCGTAGTTGATTCTGAATTTTCCTGTCTTCTATTTTCTAGTTTATTTTTTAAAAGTATCGAATATCCTATTGGTTGAAATTCACTAAGAAATTCGTTTTTTAAATCTCCCCATGTCCAATCTTCTCTTATATTTTCTAAATTTTCCAAAAAGGAGTTGGCTGTGTCTTTTAAAAATATTGACAAGAATTTTATTTTTTCTTTATCGTCCCAATTATTTACTTCTGCTGCTTTTTCATATTGTTTAAAAAAAAATTTAATATCCCCTTTGTCCGGAAAAGCTATCTGGTTTTATTACCATATATTTATTCCCTGAGCCTTGGTTAAACATGTTTGGTGTGTTGCGTGTATATGATGGTTGATTTAATATATAGTTTTTATTATTTTCTTCGGGTTTATTCCCTTCAAATGGGACTGTAGTATTTTCAAGATTATTGGTAGTATCTAAATTTATTAAGTTATCAGATTCGGAAAAATTTATTTCAGTTGAATTTAATATATCCTGAGCTTTATTTGAATATAGGTTAACACTATTGTTTAAATTGTCAAATAATTCTAAGCTATCTAATGTTGTGTGGAGGAGTTTATTTGTGAGTTCTGTATTTATTTGAGAGGTTTCAGGACTTAAATTGGGTAGGCCTATTTCTTTTTCTATTGTTCCAAGATCAATTTTTTCGGCTATTGATTTATTTATAATTTTTATACGTTCCTCGTTGCTTAGAGTATTTTCTACGTCGTCTGGGCTTAAAATGCCTTTTATGTACCTACTAAGTCTAGATCTTAAATCGGATGATCTACCAGCTGAATTTAATTTTTTTGATTTACAATATTTTATTAGATCTTCTTTTTTTAGAACGTAAATGTCCGTAGCTTTATTAATAGTAATCGAGATTTCCGACTTTGTATCTTTTAAATCATTCATCAAGGCATAAAAAATTAGAATATTTATTATTTATTATAAGAATTGTTTATCTCTCTTTCTTTTATTATTATCGTTAATATGTACCTTTGTTTCCGGACTGTGGCGATTTTTCTTTGGAGTTATATTGAAGACCGCTATGCTGCTTTTTTTTTTTTTTTTTTTACACTTTATGGACGGCACATGTATTTATTCACTACGTTTACACTCAAGTTAAATTCAAAAAAAAGTTTATAAACGCGAACAAAAATAAAATAAAACAAACAATGTTTCGAGGTAATCCCGTGAAGTATCGAGCCTATGTTGGGCGCCACTTTGTCGTATACGCCACGCAAAGGCTTGACGTATATAACAGATATATTTCGGTTTCCGATTCTCTAACCGTCGAACGAGTAAATTATTGACACCTGCTGTATGAGTTTAATTTAAGTTCTCCTTTTGGTGACCACGATAACGAGTACTGCGCAATGGGATAATTAAATAAAAGTCCAGCAGGATTTACACTATACAACTCTAAGGTTATTTTACTCCCGAACAACTGACCACGATAACGAGTACTGGATGTTCGAGGGTGAGGTATCTTTTACCTAGACAAAGTCTTACTCTTTCTCGACTGACCACGATAACGAGTACTGGGCGAGAAAGTAAGTACCACAGTGTCTTACTACCTGTTTTTAAAAGTGTTATTCACCACAACGTCTCTGTATCAACTCGTAAGATAAAAATATTCTAAAAAAAAGGCGTAAAGAAAAACAGTGACACTTGGTTTTTAAAAAGAATTAAATATAATAAAATATATCAAAAATAAATAATAAAAGAAACGTAAAAATACTGCAGCTCGCTGGCTACTACAATGAGCGAAACCAACAAAACAACAACCCCGCTCCCGTCGCAGACGTCGCCTTAAGTAGTTGTGGCAATTTTGCTGACTCGGTTTGATTGACTTTCTGCTTCGTGTTTTATTTTGATATTTTATAATTTCGTTATATATACAACAACGTAGTGGGACGCATGCCCCATAAAAAACAATAAAATACACCAGAGTTGAACTGCTGTGTGGTATTTTTTCAGCAGTAGTTCAATACATCTATATAATAACGTGGCGCAGCGGGCGGTGGCGCTCGAACTTAACCCCTTTTGTCGGGAACAAAGAGCAATAGAAAGAGCACAGAAAATAGTACGGTAATAAAAAATAATATACATAATATTGTAGAATAACGACACAATGTATAATATGTAGTATTGGACCCAATACAGGGTGTCTCACTCAAACTCGTATTGAAGATTTTGAAATTATTTACACACTATTGTAAATTATTTAATTGATTTAATTGATGGTATATATTATATAATCAAATAACGAAGCCGAATTTAAGACAGACAATTAGTTATGTGTAATACCACTGATTAGTAAACAAAGGAAACAAGTTTACTTAATCAATAGTAATACTGACTACTGTACCTATACGGCTATACCTATATATATATTATAATACTATGCATTCACTTTATTTTGTATAATTTAATATTTATTTTTTTACGTGTTGAAAGTACATAACTATATTAATATTAAAATTATAAATTTATTTATATTATACATTTTTGAGCTTAAATTTTGAAATATTTAATAATTCACTAATTAATTTCTTCTAAGAATTACAAATATTAGCTATTAGGTACAAACAACGTAATATACATCGTAATGTTCTCTATATAGTTATGTTTCATTATTTGAAAACGAATAACACTGTGTGTTAGTGCATAAAAAAACAAAATTAATACATTTTGGCATACCTACAAAAGCAGATAACTATAGAAGTTATATTTCTCAAAAATTCAAGATTGAAATTGTTTTTTCGAGGTTTGCAAACTGTAAGGTGCAGACTGTTTATAAAACGGTAATCAACGGGACTGCACCCTGTATAAATATTTACGAGGAGGAAGGACTATCGACGAGGACTCGATCGCGTCCGGCGCGGTGGCACGTCGTGAGAATTTGGGCAACACGTCCTCTGGGTGACAAGAACACCGGGGCACGTCGTAATAATAATGACGTCGACGTATATAATATTATTATAATATATTATACATATTACTGTTACAATAATAATAAAAATATGAATATATGATATTATATATACGTAGTCCCGCGATAACGACGTGGCGGCAAAGACCGTATTCCCGGCGGGTCGCGGCAGCGGCTCTAATATATGATGAACGACGTCGATGGCAAAAAAAGTAAAACCCTTCCGATAATAGTGTACATAATATATTGTAACGCGCTACAATGACCCTTTCTCTCCCCTACTCACCCTATACCCTCCACCCACAATAACCACTCACACACTCACCCACGTACACACATATAATATGTATAATGTATATATTATATTATGTAATATATTTATGTTATATTGTTTACGCGTTCTGCGGGAAAAAAGTACACTCGCGCCCGCGGTGTTGATGTGTGTGTGTGTGTGTGTGTGTGTGTGTGTGTGTGTGTCAAGTCACCCAGTCATCGTCATCCCCGATTCCCTCGTCATCATTACGGTCTCCTCCGATGTACACAAAATATTTGATCGTATACGATATGTTGTTGTTATTATTATTATTATTATTATTATTATCGTCGTCGTTGTTATAAATCGTGTAACGATAATATTATTAGCCTCCGAGAATATATACATATAGTTAAATTATATACGCGCGCCCTTTCAGTGCAGTTATATACACTTATGCGTACAGCATACCGTGCGGACCATTATTATATTTTGTCGACGATACGGGACAAAGTGAATTTGTGTGTGTGTACGATACTAATGAGCCATTGAACCCTTTCCGACGATGGATTCGTTGGGGGAGTGGTGGCAGGGAATAGGGATGATGTGTTGAAGGTGACATGATGACATATTTATACCTGACCAGCAAATTCACACTGTCATATTATTATTTTTATTTTTTTACAACTGATGAAGTGCAAATAGGCATATAAAGTTGTCATTTGTGCAGTCCTATCTCATCTCTCAAAATCTCAAACTATCTTTTGTGCACAAGTATTATCATAAACATTTCTTTTGAAAATTGTTTTTATTTTGTTGAAATAATATATGCTAGAGCCTAGTGAAGATTTTAGTTGTAAGTCTTAAAGTCTACTAATATAGTATACTAGCACTAGGTATTACTATAATCGGTTTTTTGGACTCGTCGTTCTTAAAACTCGTGGAGTTTAGCGAAAACCACTCCTACTTCCATGCTTGTGATCAAACGGTTGAAAAAAAGCTAAAATAAAAATTATATTTAACGAATTTATCTGTCCTTTATCATAAGATATTTTTTTATTCATTGTTCAAAAAAATATTTTTAATAATATTACAATAACTTTTTTTAAAAATCAATATTTTACTAAATAACCTTCGCTAAAACCCTTAACAATATTGTTCTCATTATTAATATTTAAAAGAAATTTACGACACATAATAATATGCTGTATACTTTTCACAAGTTTTTAATTGTTTTTACTTTACTAGGAAAGTATATATATATTTTAATATTTTAATATACACCACAAAAATACATAATGAATAATAATTGGCAAATAAAAAGTATACAGAGAGATTCACCAAGCATGAGCTTACTGGTTCACCCCTTTTTTCCTTCAATAATGCTATGTTAATCAAAATATGATTTTTGGAAATTTAAAATTTAAAAATAAAATTAAACTTAAAGACTATATTTTTGAATTTACTTGAGATTTTTTCCCATTTAACAGTTGTTCTGTGACATTATAAACTTCTCTTTTTCAAATGAGAAACATTTTTTTTTACTTTTAATTTATTCAGTAGATTTTTTTTTTAAATTTTGATGTAGGTATATTAAATAACAATTCAAAATTCAAATCACTAGTTGCTGATTTACTCTATAGTCTATACTAAAATAAATTAAAATTTGTTTAAAACAAATCTCCGTTTCAAGTCAATAACGCGATGCGTTTATTGTACCTTTATAATATTATGTAGTTGGTGCAAGAATCGAAAATGTTAAGCTTCAGTGTGGTTTGCAGATATTGTTGTGCATTACATACGATAATATATACACAGCGAATCGGTCACGGGTTTACACGGCACTGACGTTTTAATGAGTTTCTGAAAATGTACGAGCGTTTCGCGTATACAAACAACGCAAAACGTTTCGACAACGAGACGAGGGTCGGTCAGTCACCGGTCAAATCCCATTAAAATATCATTATCATTATTATGATTATACCCAGTGACGAGGACCGAGAAACAACGCAGTTTTCATCGCTTCAGCAGATAATATTATATTATACCTACTCTATATAGCAGGATAATAATATGTCCAATATAACTATCATTATAAGTTATAACGATCGTTTTTTAAATTTTTGACACGTGTCGCTGTGTCAGTATTATTATAATACTATACTATAGTAATACTATTATTTAATAGCCCACCGCTTGATTTGGAAAAAAATTATAAGGGAGACTCAGCGGATATTGGATGAAAGAGCGTTCCTCACAAAATTAACATTCATATAACCACGGGGACTTTTTGCCAAAATAATAATATATATATAAAAAAAAGATTAAATAAAACATTTTAAATTTAAAATGTTTTTAAACAGCTAAAAACTGTTTTTAAACAAGTATAGGAATTAATAAAATAAAAATATTATGTAAATTTCAAGTATCTACAATTATTCACTTTTGAATTACAATAAAATAAGAAAATCACTAAATGAAAAATCGAGTGAATATCCAATTGAGTAAAAATTTGAACTTCAAACGCTCATAAAAATTTAATTTGACTTTCTTAATTTGACGAAAATCAATTTTGTCAAAAACCGATTTTGCGTAAAATTCTGGTTTTTCGTTAAGTATCATCTAAATTCACTTTCCTATAAAAAAAGATACTATTGAAAAAAATCTAAGCATTCATACTGCCCCAAAAGGTGATAACAGACAAAAAATTTAAAGAAACACACA